AGTTAACACATTCCCCCCCCCCCAAGATGTCTGAAAGGAATACCCCAGATCCCTGCGAGACAATGACCAACACAAAGCGGGGGGGGGTGTTCTCTCCGTCTCATACCTTGCTGCATATGCGATGTAATACCCTAGCCCAGAATGCCTCAGTCCAGAACATTTGGTTCCCTTGTTTACCTTCCGTTCTGCGCTGTGAAATGCACGATAAAGAGGGCATAAGGTTGCAACAGCTTGACAAGCTATTTGTACAGCCGCGATTCTTTAATTCACGCTGTAAGTCACTGGAGACAAATGCAAGCATATGTCATGCACTGCATGTGCACTGAATCCCACTGCAGCACCAGAAGCCTCACAACTCAGGCAGGTGAACCCCAAAAGTAATCGATCAACATTAAGCTCAGATAAAGTTGTTTGCCCCTCATTTCCCTACCAATCGGAGTTTAACCCCCAAAGCCGTTTGAGAACTTGCATACTGTAAAAATCCTTTTAAAATGCTTGCCTGTCTTTGTCACGTACCTTGGAAGTGAAGTTTACATTTTAGAGGGGATTTTTTTTTTTTAGTTTTTGCTGGGCTTTCCTTCCTTGACGCTTCTCTACTTGTGAATGGTGAGGAATGTCATGAACACTCTAATGAGAAAGTATCATACAGGAAGGAAACCGAATGGATGAAAACGGAGAGTTTTTGGTTGTACCTTTTAGTCGAGTAATTTGACGTGATTGTACGTATTCGTGCAATGCAGTAGGCTAACTTGTTCCCAAACGCACTTGTTCCAGGTGTGTGTACGTGTACACCATGCCCCAAATCCGGACACCTCATTTTTGTCCACTGCCAAGCTCAGTGAGGAAATTCGAATCCGCTTGAAAAACGAACCGCATTTTAGACAAATGGCTCTCGATATTAAAAACACATGAGCTGGTAGATAAAAAAAAATGTATCAGTCTTCCAGACAGTGTCACCGATGATCTGAGGGGAATTCGACACAAGTGTGAAAATTGGGCACTATGTAACCTGAAAAACACAGGGGACCCATTTTCGTCATTTTCCGACAGTTTTTCATTGGGCTAATGAAAAACCGTTGGAACTATTTAAAGAAATGATTTTCTTCCTAGAAGCAATAACCTTTTTGTGCATAAGAGTTACTAGTATTTCATTTGGCATTAAAGTTATCTGAAGATAAACCCGGCAAAATTGTGAAAATTAGACACAAACGTAGGTAAAAAACAATAATTTTTCATAATTATACTTTGTCGTAAAATTGACATTTTCCACTTTCTTTGATTATTTTTCGGCGATCTTTCTTTCCAGAAGCTATTAAATATCACCCTTTGACAGACACTTGGCAATTTATTCATACACGAGGTCTTCAAGGGAAATGGCAGTACAAATCATGGGTCATCACCAATATGCGTCGTCTGCTAGAATAACGACCATTATGCAACTATTGCGCATGTGCAAATGCACAAACTAGATTTATGGGGACTGAACATACGTGATATACTAAACTAACACTTCAAAGAGGAGGGCCACAATCTCTGCTGTCACGTTACCGACAACTATCGCCGATAAGAAACATTCCCTGCCTGGCCCAGGCACCATCTTTGTAAATAATCCCTTGTATATACACTTGGGCCACTTAACACACAATCCCATGGGACTTGGCTAGTGGCCAGCTGGAATTTTTGTTTCTGGCTAGGGGAAGCAAATGTGCCGGGCCTCTTCGGAAGAGGCCACGCCCTCTACCCAGAGAGGCTCACTGTGTTTCGTTAAATGTATTTGACGTTTGCGAAGCATATCCTTAATCATGTATTGAGGACTTTGAAGGTGTATACATTTGTCTTGGTGAATTCAATTTTGGAGGAAACAGATACACTTCTCAGTCAACTTTATTGTTTTTTTTTTCACCACGAAAATGTGTACAGGTATGTGTGTGTGTGGGGAGGATGGTCAACGGCCTATCCTCCGTTGAAAAAGCGGAGGGATATGTACCCCATCCCTCCCCGGGATTTATGATATGGGTGATAATGGGTTCCGAACCAAACGATTCCGGCAACTCTGACGGATAGGTAGGTCTGATCACTCTTAAAACAACCAATTCAAAATGTTGACTGATTTTGCTAGTTGTTCAAAATTGACTACGGATTCAGTCAAACAGCCATGCTATTGTTGGGCAATCATGCTTTCTGACAAGGTTCCTATTCGATGCCTTTGAAATATCAATGAACTGACAGAAAAAAATCTAGTCAAACCGACTAATTTTTGTTGTACCTAGCTGACCCCAAAGAGCTAGTCAAATTTTACTGAATTCTAGTCAAATTTGACTGATCCTTTTTAGAGTGAAGCCACCACGGTTATGTGAGAAAAAAGAGAGACTCCACTCTATTTTCAAACTTGCGTTGATGATTAGGTACCACTATTCAACGGTTTATAAAATTTTCCTCACATGCATCCCAACTGCAAAGAACTTCAGCTTTTCCCTGTGTAATTTTGCAAAATGCTATTTAGTTTTTTACGAGTGTAATCATGCTGACTGTTTAAAAACTAGCAAGTGGCGCACTTCGAGGGCCTGAAAGTAGGAGGTGGGCATTAAAGAAATAACGTCATGCTCTTTTTTGCAGTCGACGACTACATACCGTCCAGTAGTGCCGATGAAAGAAAGCCGTTTGGCAGTGATTGGCATTCAAGCAAACCTTCATATTGGTCAACTTGAAGAAATGATCGGTCTCAGATGGATATGACCAGTCAAGGGTGGTTATTGAAGGTATGAGGCTCTGTGGAAATGTCAGATAACTACATATAAAAAATTTGTAAACCCACACAAGTGAAATTTACAAGGTTGCAGTCTCGATGAGCCGATTCATAGCCGAGAAAGAGAAAGTTTACACTTTTGCAGGACCAACATGAAGCAAAGCACATCGGCAAAAAAGTGAAAGTATGGGCAGGAATAATTATTAACTTCTTCAATTACAGTTCAGTGGACAAAAATATGTTTTGACTGATCACCCTGCAATGTATATTGGCTTTCAACTGATGATGCATTTTGTCTGTGTCTATATTTTGTGCGTCACCCTCCCACCACATTGGCAAATTCAACATCGGGTGCCCGCGTGTATAGAGCACCGAAGTGCTGCGCAATAACGCGATCTCCTAATTTCACAAAAGTGGTATCACAATGACCGCAAAGAATTATTCTAAAATGTCCTAAGAGTTCAACTCCGGGAAAAAGGGCACTGCGGCGATATCGGGAAAATTGTTGGGGGAGGGGCAGATTCCGCCCCGGTTCTTTTAGCCAGAGAAACTTAGCACAGAAAGGACCATTTGTCTCTTTTCACCCACATTTACCTAGGCGAGCCTCAACAGAAAAATATGTGATGAAGTGGGAGGCGATCTGGCCATGCCCCTCCGCCTCCCAAAATAGAAGAGTTAAAATGATTTTTAATTCAATAAGAGAAAACTTGTCACGTTTGACGACTACTCCATTATTAATTGTCTTCACCAAAGGGCGTACGTATCCTACAAATTCAGCCTCAACTCTCTGAGGGGCCGGAAAGGTTTCAACCAAACTCTTGAACTGTGACCTACACCGAAAACTACCCCTCCATTGCCTATGGATCAGCACTTAACAGGAAACCTTGAGACGCTTGGTGGCGGCAAACATACCGGTTTGAAAAATACCGAAAACCCCCTGTAGTTTTGAATAGGACCTAGTGGTCTATACGTTTATATGTCTATGTTTTTACCAATTCTGAGCAACCGTCCGAGCAGGTGCACATAGTTCTGAGCACACGCAATACTGTAAGGAGGGACCGCTTTGTGTACTGTCACCAGCGTCTCAAAGTCCTCCATTATTTCAATCATTGTTTCCTTTCAGAAATAATGTTGATGTTTATGTTTAACTAAGAAAGGTTCTCTAAGTACTGCTTAAAAAGGTTAGTGAGGGAATCACACACTCAAATCATAAAAATAAAAATATCTCAAAGAGGTTTCTAAAAGCAAAAGGAATCATGAAATTGAACTACATTGAGTGTGCTCGTATTGAACAATGTATTTGCCTTCATTGAAATGAAAGTATAGATATTGGTCTAGTCAATATCAACAATTGATATTTAAGCAAAACAGGGAGAGAATTATTAACCTAGGTTCATTTTACTTTTCGTTGAATTTAAACATTGCCTGGATGGGGCCACTAAGCAGCTGTTTTTTAATAAATACAGCCGCACGTTCTCAAAAAGTTAACTTTACATGTAACTGCAACTTTCTGTTCGAATAATTGCTGTATGTACACAATATTTATCTGCACGTACAACTTTCACATGAAGTGACACTGCCCATTTTGTGTGCTTGGATGTCTGCGATCGCATGCATGTTGGGATGGTGCGCAGTGCGCATGAAGTATTCAAAAGACTGGACATGTACACACTTTCCCTCTTGGTGTTCAGCCCAAGTATTTTGCTAAGGGCGTTTTGTGTCCGTTGTCTTTCCTCTTGAATTCTTGGGACATCTTCCTCAAAAATATCAAAAGAGTCATTGTTGCACTTAATTGTACGAGATCTTTGTTCCTCACACGGCTTTGGCAAAGTGTTACATTAAAGTAATGAAAGGGAAATTCGGTAGCCATTCACGTATTTTCTTTTCTCGTCTTAGACACAAAGGAAATACAGCACACGTATAAAGGAATCATTATTTTGCTCCTGATCTGACAGCTCTCCATAGTGATTACACGGAGTTTTTATAGTACATTATCACTGAAGGTAACCTGGCGGTAATATATTATCGTATAAAGTGATAACTTGTACACCAAGTTACTTTCAGGGCTTTCAATCGTCAACAGCAAAACAAAGTCAACATTAAAATTTGAGGAAGGAAATTTAAAACATTTTATTTTAGACTGATTGTTCCAAATATGAAGCAAACTGAGAAAAGCAAATTCAAGAAATACCTTCCTAAAAAGGTAAAAATCAAGCACAGACGCTCTTGTTTTGATCTTCTTTTTTCTTTATCGACTCCCCACCCCTGTAATAATAACAATAATAAGAGTAATAATTTATTCATTTACAGAGCGCAAATTTCATATAGATATGTTCGAATGCGCTGTACAAAGAAGACATTAAGCGTGGGACAATGAATGCGTTTAAACGTGGAAATCCCAAGACACAAGGGACCGTTTTGCTCAAGTTGTTTGAGAGAACAAAAACATGTTATAAAGTGCATTACAAGCACGCTTTGTGAAAAAGACTCTCTGGTTGGAGATGGTTTATTACAGGCATTATATAGGATTTGCATGTGCGCAATTTGTCAATATTGGCTGAGTTTGGGGGTTTGTGATTTACTTTGTGTATCATTCCACGGCCTTGTGCAATTTTATAAGTTCAAGAAAAATCGAGAAACCGCTGTTCATTTTTGACATTCTAAGCCCAGCTCGTGTAATTGTAGCAACAGCCACAGAACGTTCCTGAGTGCCTGGACAATGCGCAGGCGAGGTCATTCTGCAGACCAAGTATGGCCCTCAAAAATGCAGTTTCTCCATGGCTTCACGTTATAATATTGGTTGGCAAATTTACCTTCAAGTTTGTGCTCCGTCTTCAACAACGCAACGCTGAAAATGTTTCGAATAAACATCGTTTCAATATGCAGTGAATAGACTGCAGCCACCAAAGTTCAGTGCTGCACAAATAAGAAACGTACATGTACATGTACACATTCATGATCGACCACCGTATTCTCTCTTCACACGCAGGCTTACGGTCGGTTAAAAAACCGCCCACACACCATCAGTTTCTATCACAAACACTTTATAAATAAATGTGGTAACTTATGTCCTTGCACTTGAACATAAGAGTAACTGTAATTGGACAAGCTGAAAGCTAAATATCTCGAAATTTGGATAGTTTGTCCGAAAAAAACCCCAATGATCTTTGGAAAAATACAGCATTTTTCTGTTTTGGAATATGACAGCATTCCTAGTGGTGAGACTTCACAAACAAGCACTATTATATATTTACTCACACTATGACATTTCAAGACAATTCGACAGTCCTGCTCTTGATATCTTGCAAATCCTTTATACACAGCCTTCAATGGCTGAGTGTAGACGGATTGGGTAATCTGTAATTGAATAAGTCTCGTCAAGAGGCAATGCCAGTAGTGCCAAACAGTTTGATTGAAAATGCCTTAGCAGGTATAGGAATGAATATCTAGAGCAGGCAAGCTTGAGATAGGTAGGCGCCACTGCCTTGCATGGGTGTATACAATAACACCTATCCACTTTTTGACCAGGGGAGTGGGCTACTGAATTAACCCCCTCCCCTATTCGTGGTGTGGCTCAAAAATAAAGGAGATTTTGAATAATTTTTTGGACTTCTCAACTACCAAAACGTGTTCAATGTCAATGAAAAAGGTAGGCCAATGAAAAGCCATAAATATGCGCCGTTTTCATGAAGATTCCGCAGGAATATAATACCCATGACAGGTGCACATCTGTATCATAAACTTCGCTCCTAAACAGTTTCACATGGTGTCAGCCCCCCCGCTGCTTTTGGAAGTTTTCAGTGGCGCGCAAGCCATTCTCCCATAATTCCCATTCCCCACCCCCAGCACTGCTCGATTGGCTGAGAACTTTTTGTTTCTAGTAAAGTAATTGTGGAGCTATTTCGAGGTCTACCCTGTCACAAAAAGCTATGTCAGCAGACGAAAGGGAAAGTTTTCATTATCGAACAAATATTGCAACAGTGTGCCAGTTCCGCCCGCGATGCTGACAAAAAAAACCACCTGTTGGTAGGGTTGAATTCCTATAAAATGAGTGAGGCTCTGCTTGCAATCAGACAGTTCCTCATCACTCACCATGGGGAAGATCAGCAGTCTTGTGGTTCTGCTTTTAGCAGTCTTCATCATCGGTGAGTGCCCGATCATTGTGTTCCTATATCGCAAAGCTGGCGTCTTTGGGTTACTTGTTTACCTGCTGTGTTGGTCTTTTTTTACATTTCAGTCCGTTTGCTAGTCTTCATGGCAGGCTTGTGCTTTTTAGGCATTATCTTTATTACAATAATTAATGTTTCTTAGTTTCGTACTATCTCTTTAGTCACTTAATTTGTACAGCTTTTAGCCTATTTGGAGTTCACATGAATAGATAGCATTCAAAACGTAACCATTCAACAACTGGGGACCTTTGTGGTGTAAACAATAGTAGATTATGTCAAGTACATTGCAGACATACGTAATGTCTGTGCGTAAGAAATACATTAGAATGTAAAAATGTAACCTTTGATTAAAATGACTGTTATGGTCTTTACTACTTTATCAATAAAAGGGAAGATACAAAATATCAAATATGTACTTAGCACCAAATTAAAAAATACGACTAAAATATACAATGAAGTTGACCCGAACATCCTGTATTTTGTAAAGTTTTCATACTAACGCACGGGAATGGCTTAAGGAATCCAGACGTGGTAGCTAATTTTTGAAACAAACCTCCTGCGATTTAATACCGAACCATGAGTGACAAAATGTCATCAATTCTAATGGCATTATTCGAGTACTCAAGAATGGTTCAAAAGCTTAGGGCTCCAACAGTCTACCTTTTATGAAGTAGCAAGGTAGGATATCGTTTGTGGGGTTTACGTTCAAGCAAACCGGACAACTACAGGCTTCCTTAAAGTGAAGTCACCAAATTGTCGATGCGTTGAATACGGGCGATTCACAAGAGTGCGCCTCCAAGAGTTTGCAACGCGTTGGCCAATCACGACGCGCAAAATCAGTCGACCCTTTCCAAATGCGCATTAGGTCTACAGATTTTACGTGTCGTGACTGGCCAACGCGTTTCAAACTCTTGGAGGCGCACTTTTGTGGTGTAACGCATTCCTGTCTGAATGTAAAATTCATTTGGGAAACCCGAAAGTCGGCAACTTTTTCTAGAATGAAGCGTGCACATCGCGTTGGAGCAAAACGTAAACAAAATACCTGAAAAATCACTGCTGTAAATTTATTCGCCTCTCTTCAGAATGATTTTTTCCAAAACATCCACGCAACTTGTGGAATTTGCAACGAAGCAGATTGCGTGTGATTAACAATTACCCCATTTCAGGTGCGGGCAACGCCTTAGCAAAGGAAAGACCCAAGGAAAAGCCTGGAGACGTATTGGAGGATGGTGAAAAGGCGCCCAAAGATGCCCCCCTGAGGGAGAATCACGCAATCAGTAAGGAAATGCATTATTTCTTGTTAAAACAACATGGCCCAGTATAAACCAAACTGTCACACAAGGAGTATTACCCCCTCCCAACAGTCTGCAGTCAGCAGGAAGGCACTTTCTCAGGTCCAGACTTTCACAATCAACTGAATTCAATCTCAAATGGGAAACCTCCTTCTATATAAGCTACCTGATTGAACTCCGTCTATTTCTTAGAGTACCTGAAGTTATCTCAGTGAACTTGTGAAGCCTTGGGTCACTGTTTGAAAAGTTTATTTCGCCAGCCTTTTAATAAGCAGATGTGGCAATGGAGGTCAAGCTAACATGTTGTACATTCTGTTTATTTTAGTCTGCTTAATTAGGGGGGAAATGTCATACGCCAATATCCCAGTTCAAGAAAACTTGGGGAGGATGTACACCCCGGCCCAGGGATTTTCACACCTTCATACCAGGGAAAGAGCCTTTTAAAGAAAATCCAAACGATTTCCATTAAACCCCATTCCATGATAAAATAACCAGGCTTACTTATTCCTACTATACGTGTAAAGATTACAAGGAAGACAAATTTTTTCTCCCCAGAATAATTTATGGGGAGAAAAAGAGTAAAAATAAACGTATGTTATTTTTATTTGTCTCAAGTGGCACGCCTATTGCATTTCGTGAAATCTTAGATAAAACCATATACCTCGGAGTTGGTAAATCTCGGACCATTTCATCACCCAACTACCCAAGAAAGTATCCAAACAACCAAGATTGCATCTGGTACCTTCAGACGGAGAAAGGAAGTAGAATCAGGATCACATTCAAAGACTTTCAAACTCAGAAATATTACGATAGACTGAAAGGTGGGGATGGTAGCGACGTCACAAAATTGAAGCTGTTTGACGCAACTGGGATCTTCAAACCAAGAGATCAGGTTTCTAATGGAAACACAATGTGGTTGAGATTCACGTCTGACTTCAGATTCACAAAAAAAGGTTTCCGATTGGTTGCTCGAAGTTTCTCCTCGTCAGGTAAACATTCTTTTGTGTAAAACTGTTCGTATCTGAATGTTTGCAAGGCCCCTAAAGAGTAGGAATTGTTAATCAATGTTTGTGCAATGATAACACGTTTCACTGCTATGATCTACCGGTAAATCGATTGTAGGCACACACCATTATCCTTCCAGCAAAAAGTACCAATAGATTACCTCACGGTGATAATTGCACAAACCGAGGATCGCGTTCAGTCTTTTATGCGCAAGTGGCGTCACTGTTGACTTTAAATGCAATCTTTTGGCCTCATATCAGATGAACGGACTTATCTATCGGACAAAGTCAGAAGTTTCTGATTAATTTCTAATTTTAAAATGTTACCTTCCTCCTGGAAGGGAAATAAAAAATCGTAACCTTCGGGTAACGAATAATGCAGGTGGGCCTACATATGTTATTCTTTATACATAAAACGAAATGTTCCACGTGACATCTAGAAAACGTCGTAGAAATTATATATGAAGAAAGTATGTTTGCAAGGTAATATAAACCACCAACAAAATGATTTGAGGAAAACAGTTGTCATAGAATTCAAACATTTTTCTAAGCAACGTGGGGGAAAGGTGTCACGAAAAACATAATACTCCCGCAACGGTAAACGGATTGAAAAGAGTTTCAAACCTTATTCTCCGAGTAAACAAGACACGTTATGACTTCATTTCATCACAATGGGTTACAAAAAGCGAAACTCTTAATTTCGAACAAAT